TACAATACACTACTATTAACTATAGTCACCATGCTATACATTACATCCCCGGGATTTATTTATCTTATAACTAGAATTTTGTACCTTTTGGCCCCCTTCACCTCTTTCACCTACCCCCCAGCCCCTGCCTCTGGCAACTACCACCAGTCTGTTCTCTGCATCCATGAGTTTGATTTTTTTTTTTTAGATTCCACAAAAAGTGAGATTATATAGTACTTGTCTTGCTCTGACTTATTTCACTTAGCATAATACCCTCAAGGAACTAGAAAAAGGAACAAATGAACTGCAAGATTGGTAGAAGGGGGCACCTGGGTGGCTCAGTCGTTAAGCGTCTGCTTTCGGCTCGGGTCATGGTCCCAGGGTCCTGGGATCGAGCCCCGCATCAGGCTCCCTACTCTGCGGGAGCCTGCTTCTCCTTCTCCCACTCCCCCTGCTTGTGTTCCCTCTCTCGCTGTCTCTCTCTCTCTCTCTCTCTGTCAAATAAATAAATAAAATCTTTTAAAAAAAAGATTGGTAGAAAGAAGGAAATAACAAAGGTCGGAGCGTAAGTAAATGAAATCGAGTCTAAGACAATAATAGAAAAGATCAGTGAAACTAAGAGTTGGTCTTCCAAAAAGATAAACAAAATAGACAGATCTTTAGCTAGCCTCACCAAGAAAAAAAGGGGACTCAAATAAATAAAATCAGAAATGAAAGAGGAGAGGTTACGAATGATAACACAGAATGACAAGGGATTGAAGGAGACTACTATGAGCAATTAATTATTCACCAACAAGTTGGACAGCCTAGAGGAAATGGATAAATTCCTAGAAACATACAACCTATAAAGTCTGAATACATTTTGAGGAAATTTTTAGTAATGTTAAGGTGTGGGCTTTTCCTTAAAGCTTGACTTTTCCATTTTCCTTTCTGGAAAGAATGGTAAAACAGCTCTGGGAACAATGAGGCTGACCTCATTTGCCCATGTGCCTCTCCCTCCCCCATGCTTCCCTCAGCGCCCCCTCCAGCGTGCTTCTGACTGAGGTTTGGGCAACAAAGGGTCAATTGCATGTAGAAAGCTATAGCAGCCCTTAAATGGGTTTTTCTGTCATGCTACTCCCACCCTGAGGTAGACTTTAGACTTGGTAAATCTGTTGTTCCCTTTCTCAGTACAGTTTAACAGGTAAAACTTCAACACTGGTAAGTCGAAACTATTCGGAATAGCTGTGTACCTAGGACAGCACGGTTATCTTTGTATCCACAGGCATGCTCTCTGTCGTGCCTTACAAATGTAGATAATGTGCGTAGAATTGGGTGGAAGTGTTGAAATTCACCCAGCTGCTTCCCCAACTTCCAAAAGGGCTAAATAGCTAGAGATGAGCTCCTTGGGCCCTGAACCCACTTAGATGCTGGTGATTGTGAAGACATGGCAATTGCAGGGCCCCCAGCACAAGCTGTTGAAGTGGTTTTACCGTGTCTTTCTTTCTCGAACACTGCCAGGTGTAAACTACCCTGTTCCCAGCTCTGGGCCGGAGGAAGGATTCTCTCTCGGGCTGGAGCCCTGGGCTCCAGAGCTGGCTGGGTTGGGCCCAGGGGCACAGGGTGGGGGCTGTTCTCGGCCTAGAGGCACTGCCTGCAGCAGGCTGTGGATAAGTGTGTGTTGGTGGGGGAGAAGGTGGGCGTCGATTCCCCTTTATTACTCTCCTTGGGGCAGAAATGGTAAGCCCTTGGTAACATCCATAATCCACAGTTTATTACAAGGGGACACATTTCTTTCTCTCTTTTAAATATAGAAACAAACATAAGCAAGCTTGATTTTCCAAGCAGGGGGTGCACAGGCTCTGTATGTTCCTTTCTTTGTTGCAGGAGCTTCTCAAGAACACTGTCTTTGTCTGTTTTGTTCACCAGTGAATCTGCCCCAAGGTCCTAGAGCAGTGCAGGATAGGTGCTTATTAACTGCTGGTCGGATAGGGAGGGGCACATAGGCCTGGACATGGTGGTACTTAACTAAGCACAGTGGCTAACATCATCCTGTCTCTTGGTCCCATTTGCTCCTCAAAGCGAGGCAGATCCTTTTGTGGGGGAATCAGGCCTTCAGAGACCCCCATCGAGGGTTTCCCTTGATGATTTCCCTGATTTTCATTCTTTTTTTTTTTAAAGATTTTATTTATTTATTTGAGACAGAGAGAATGAGAGAGACAGAGAGCACATGAG